CATAATATTACTAACTTTAAACTCAACTACCTTAAATTATTTAAAATCAAAATTTTATTAAATGAACTTCCTACTTACTTTCACTTTCATAAAATTTACCCACATATATTCTATAATACTAATTGCTTTAACTATAATCTTGCCGACTTCCCAACCTATTGGCATATATGCTCAAATCTATCACTTATTTTCAATATTATCCAAACTAGCAGGGATTACAAAATAACAGTATAGTATGGGTTACCAGATTAGTTTGGTATAGGTCTACTTAAAAAACTGTACCATACTTATCACCTATTATATACCATAAATAATCAGTATGGTATGGTTTATAATTTAAAAAATTATACCATACTGATCTCCTATTATATATAATATATATATTATATTAAATTAGTATAGTATGTTTCTTTTAATTTAAAAAACTATACCATACTGATCTGGTCACTATACATTTTTTACGTTTGTCAAATTTAACTAATTTTTGGTCTCCAAATTTAAGTTTTGGTGATCAAATTTATTATTGATTATCTAAGGCTATACCGATACAAACTAGTTCACTAGGTCAAATTCTGCAAAATTTTTTGAAAAATTTTTTTAACTATATTTGCTATCTGAATGAGATTTTTTTAGCTAAATTAATTATTAATGAAGCTATTTTTATTCATTCATTTATTATATTTTAAAAAGTGATTCTACTTTATTTTCAGTCATTATAACCTTATTAAAGATGCGGCACAATCTTTATTCTATAATTAATAAAACAATAATATCATATATATTATTAACTTATTCCTTACCCCAATTGCATAGTCATTATGCACAGTATCTAATAGTAATGTAAAAGACATAAAAGACTTACCTTTTTCACTCAAATTAAGAGGCAGAACTCTTGGAGTCTTAACTTCAAAAGATATATTGAAGTATCCAAGTAGCATTAACCCTTTTGTTAGAAAATATTTTGCATTAAGTTTTCACATTGTCTTGTACTCATAACTCTGAGTTAACCTATTAGTTAGTATAAAGTAAAAAAGAAAGATATCTATTAGTTAGTATAAAGTAAAAAAGAAAAATTGTCTTAATAATCAAATTCTTTTTATATTAAATAATTGCATGAATACATTAGTGATCGATTCATTATTACTAAAATACATATATTAGAGATGTTTCTTATGCAATAAGCATAGTAACCTCATGCAAAATACATAGTAATCTCATAGTGTGTTTATTATACTAGCTACAAAAATTACTACATTGCATAATGTATACATATTCGAAGTTCATTAATTACTAATAATTAGTGATTAATTTGATTTTTAGAATTTTGTGAGATGTATAACTATCTTAATATAAAGGTAAAAGAAAACAATCAAGAGTAGTTAAAAGCATATTTTATTTTATTATCTTTGATCTAATCTGATCTTTTCAGTTTATGAATTTGAACAATTAATTTCTCTTATCTAATGAGTTATTATCTCACCTAATTTATGACTTTCTTTTATCTATTTACCTCAAATTAATGTTATCATAACTTTAAAATCAAAGATAAGAGAAAAAAAAAACAAGTAATTGTTTGCAAGTTTAAAAATCCAATCTAAAATTGACTAAATTATTTGTCAATGCCTAATTCTTTTTCCTTTTCAATATTGGCTAATTCTTGAGCATGAAGAGAAGCTAGTTTTGTTTGTTTATCAATATCTAACATCTCTTTTTTATATTAAAATTCATATTCTATTAACTCAAGCTTTCTTAACTTTTCATGCTTAGCAATTTCAAGGTCAATATCATTTAATTCTTCATTGCCTATTGCAGTGGCATTAGAATTTGGTGATACTTTTTTAGTTGATGATGCAGATTCCTTTTTTTTATACTTTTGACTTTTTAAGATATGTGGTTGTTTTTTCTCTTATTATTATTAAATATATACATATAAAATTTAGCAAATACAGAATAAGTAATAGTTATATTCTGAGTAATTGGGTATAAGCAGAATTTTGGTGTAGAGTATAATAAAGTAGATTAGCTGCGTAAGCAGCCAAACTATGTCATTATGCTTTACACCAAAATTTCGCTTTACTCAACAACTCAGAATATAACTGATTTATTCTCTGCTATCTATATGCCTTTTTTCATATACTTGGTTTTTACTGATAAACATCATCAACTTATTTTTACTGGTCTAAAAATTAATAACTTATGATATGTATCAAAATAAGTTGATGATGTTTGTTAGTAAAAATAAGTACATAAAAAAAGTTATGTAAATGAGGTTGGCCAGAGGATAATAACAAGTTATTATATAATTATCTTATCTAATCCTAATCGTTTAATAGATTGAGTGATCTTAACTACTAGACCTGATGAACGACCAGTTTTTGAGACATTATATTTATCTTGACATTCACATGTTGCAAATCGACGCTTATCTAATCATCTTCCTCTATATATTTTCAAATATACAAATTTTTAGTAATTTTAACTACTAAGGCTATAAAGTCGACCAGAGCAGCTCCCAAAGTATAAATTGATGATATAGCTATAGTATAGAAATAACTAATTGATGACAAGCTGTAATAATCTTGAAGATATATATTGGGTATTAAATTGATTTTTTTTTATGTCTTCAAGATTTTAGTTATGGCTTGTCATTGATTGATTATTTTTATGCTACAGCTGTATCATCAATCTGAGGGCTGTTCTGGTCAACTCAAGGCTATACAAAACTAATTAATTGGTTTTTATAACCTGGTCAGATCAAAATTTGAAGGATATGATTTAATAACTGAGTAGTTTTTTAAAAAAAGCTGACCAGCCAGGTTTATTTAAAAATTACAGTTATAAAACCCAAGGCATCAAATTTGTATAAGCCAATAAAAAAAATTAGCTAAAAAAATAATTAATAAAAAACTATTAAATACAAACTTTCTAATTGCAAGTAATAAATTCATTTTAATTTCTTCTCTATTAGCATCTGCATGAGCAGATTCAGCAATATTAGTAGTTTCTCTTGCATTACACCAGTCTTCTTTAAGAATATGCGAATAATAGTAATTTAAAGAAGCTAATCGTCATGGTTTTGAATAGTAATTTTCCCAATCTGTAATTGTTAAAAATTCAATACATATTGATATATATAAATTTAATTTACAATATTAAGAATAACACATTATTATATACCTGATGCACCATCTTTATCTGATATAAAAAATTCATAAAATATAGCATCAACACGTTCTTTATCAGCTACTAATATTTCATACATTAAACTTTTTAAATAGTCTGATAGTTTTGAATTTGAAATATTTCTATATAAAATAAAAATAATTACAATAATTACAAGTTTGATTATTTATAAAAAAAAATAAATAAATAGATAAAGTGGCCTGGTATATTTGAAATTTTTAATATTGTATTATAAAAAATTAAAAAGTTATTATTGGTCATTGTTTATAGTACTCGAGGTCTTATTCATGAACTCCAATTTTAAACTTATAGATATTGTGTGAAGAATAATTTGAAGGATATATTATATTAAAGGTACCAGTAGCTATTGCATAATCAGTACTCATTACTATTCAATTTTAAAATTAAATAAGACCCTAGGTACTGTATGCAATAGCCAATGTAGTAATTTAGTATAGATATACCTTTCAAGAAACAGGATAGTAATAACATCTGATCTTAATCATGAGAGTATTATGTTTGAGAGATACTATAAGCAATGACCAATAATAATTTCTATAGCTTTAAATAAAATTTTTTTCTAAATACTTTCCTTTTATAATGTACACGACATGACTTAAAAATATAAGTCAAGTGAGTTTTCCAAGTTTTTGTTAGATCCAAATCTTCAAGCACTAATCCAAGACCTTTAGCTTGTGCAACATCTAAGTCATCAAGGATAACTTTCCAACCATTATCATGAATATGTTTGATTTGAACCTCTTGTTTACAAAGTTCATTTACAGTTTCGATTATAGCTTTAAACATACGATGATAAGCATTTGCAGTTATAATATTTGTAAAAATTCGTACATATGTAAGTACTAAAAAGATTAAAATTAATAATATTGTAATAGTAATATATAAATAATTAAATATATATAAATTTACTTAACTAATATTATGATTTATATCAAATTCATTAAGCTCAAACTCATTAATATTTTTATAAACATGTTTAAACGTTAAATTGACTTAAAAATATTGTGCATTTAAAAGTTTTATCACCATGCTTTTATTCATGCATAGTACAAGAATATGTCCATCTTCAAAAAATGCTATATTTTATTAAATAAAATATTAGTATATATGGTATTATATATGTATGTATACTATATATACTATATATATAAGTTACTCTGATTATACTAGACATTAGTAATGTCTTATTTCTCTATCTCTACTTGACATCACACAAGATAGCAATCTATCAACAATTATACTTGTAGCTAATTAAATACTAACTCTAATATTATGTGATATTAGATAAATAGTCATAAAATAATTTTTAGAAAAATGAGCAGCTACTTAGAGGTTAGTTTAACCAAAGTGATACTCTATACATACCAATTTTTTGAACATATTCTTGAATATTATCTAAATTAGAAGAAAAAGCATGAACCAAGCCTAATATACCTTGTCCATGTGGATGAATTAAATTTTGAACCTGAGTAACAAGATAGTGAAGAGGATCCAAATTATTTAAAGAAGCATGAATTTCTAATAATAGATCATTTCCAAAATAACTCTTAAGTAAATTTTCTAAATTAAAAAGGTAATTATCGTTATATACATATTTAGTTATATAGTTAATGTATATAGTAAAAAATTTTCTAGTGTCTCATTATGATTCTAGTACAATAGCACTAGAAAATATATATAAATTAAATTAGTTTATACTCATTAGACATTCTGGTTATATTGACACTCTCCAGAAACAAAGAAATTTTCTGATATATCTATATGTCAGTTTACCTAGAGACTAACTATATAGGTTCAAAAATTTAAAATGTCGTTATAACTAGATGTCGATACATATAACTAGTATTAAATTATCTGATTTATCTAAATAATATTTGAGTGCATGAGTGAAAATCTGTAACTATATTTAATGATTTGTTATGATCAGTTACAGGTTTTCATTCTCACATATAATTTGTATAGCAATTTTTATTTTAGGTAAAATTTTCAATTAAATTATATCTACCTGATATTAATTTTCATGATGTAACATGTTCTAAATTATTTGAGGCTTCTTCAATTAAGGTTTTAAGGTGATTTTGGATAGCTTCTGATACATGATGTGGTGGTGGTGGTGGATAAGTATGTTCTTCTATACAAACTAATACTACAAAAGGACACTCTAACAAATTAACAGGTGTAAATCGATAAAATTTAACATCACAAGATAGATGTTCTAATTGAGCTTCAAATGGTCAATTATTTTCATCAAGATGAGGAAATGCTTATATAAATTTAAATTTATTATATTAAAAACAAGTATTAAAATATTATACGTATATATTTTTTATCAAAATATGTTAGTATACTTATGACAAACTTTTTTATATATTGTATTAGGTAAAATTGTACAACATTGATCTTGAATTAATGACTGATTAAGTGATTCTCTATTCAGAATATGTTGAAGAAGATCAATATCACATAACTTAGGTATTGGAATAAATCGATGCCAATTATCTCCATTAGACCAAAAACTACATCTAATAAAGTAACCATCTTTGCATTGTGATATTAGTAATAAATGACTATTGCTTTGATTTTGACTAGTTCTGTACTGTGTTAAAGTATTTTGTTTAATTTTTCTTAAAACTAGTAGATTAGTACATAAAGTTTTTGAACAAGATTTTTTGATTATGGCAAGGTAAAATCTAGAATAATATTAATATTGTTAAAATACATATCCAAAAATTACAAAAATTATATTTATATTATAAGGAATTGGTATTTTCACGTCCTTGCATGTAATATACTGTAAATCGTCATATAGAGTACTCGATTAAAAGTTTATACTATACCTAAAGAATACACTGCAGAAAAAGAAAATATAATAATTGAAGGATTTCTACTTATTCTATAACTTTCATATAAATCACTAGTTAATATATCTGAAGTATCTTACATTCCATCAAAATTTTAACCTTACAATATACTTGGGTCTAAAACTGAGGCAATTTACTATATATTATCTGACATGTCTTATGTGAATACTAAATAATTTTTGCGTAACTTATTTGATCTCATCCATCTAATACAATACACAAAATTTTACTCACTTCTTAAGAGATAAGTAAAAATTTGTGTATTTGTATTAGAAGGCTGAATAAGTTACATAAAAATCATTTAGTATTTATATAAGACATGTCAAATAAGTGTGTTATTCACAGCAAACACCACATTATGACATTATCACAAGTATGTGAATAATCAGTTATCATAATCCACAACATGACCAATAACAAGTACACTGCATGCCTAATAACTATATATTATGCAGGGATAATAGGGATAGAATATCAATAAACATTCAATATTTGATCAAAAAAATAAATAAATATGACCCAAGAATGTGTGAAAATACCAGTTTTTATATTATATCATATATATTTAAATTACAAAATTTATACATATGCAAGTGTATTTGTATAAATTGACCTATTTGAAGATTTATTTTTAATTGCTTTAAAAACATCTGAATCAAAATTAACATTACAGTGCTTTGCTGATCTAATTTGATCATTAATGTAAGAGCAAATTGTAACATCTTGACATTTTTTTTGGTCTTTAGTAACATTAATGTTGCCAAAAAAGGGGCATTTGACTTTTGTTTGACTGCCAGTACCCAAACTATACTGGATCTAAATAATATACTGTAATTAATAATATATTAATATATATTATTTAAGTTAACATTAATACTTGCATCACAAAATACAGCATGTGCTTTTTTTTTAAATCTTCTTGTACTTGAGTTATATTTTGTGCTTGATTACTATTATTATCATAATCTTTTAGATTAAGCACATTATATTTAGTAGCAAAACCAGAAGGTTTTTTGTCATTTTGCGGACTAGTTGAAGGATATTCAACTGAAACAGTAGAGTAATATATGTTATCAACTTTAATAGCTAAATGTATTGTAAAATAAGCAACAGTTTCTTTAATATCTTCAATAGTTTCTTCAATCTCTTCAGTATCAATATTTTTAATATTTGTAACATTTTCATTAAAGTTTGACTAAAATTAAATAGATCAATTTATATTAATATAATCTTTTTAAGATTTTATTCTGTATATTAAACCTATTTTATATAAATCTTTGTTTAGATATCATATTATACATACTATTTGTTCAATATCAAATTCAAATTCTTCTTCAGAGAACATTTCTATTGTTCAAATAGTTTTTTTTTTTTTTTTTTTTACAAAATCAGTTAGATTATAATTTAACTGATTTTTTGCATTACAAATAGTATAATTGACTCGATATTAACTTTAATAAGCTTTTACGTAATATTTTATAATAGTACATATGTATTTAAATAAATAGCATAAACCGTTTTTAGTTATACTAAAACAAGAAACTTTACAGATGTATTGGTATCTTTACATTGCATTTTAGCTATTTTCTTACTAGAGATTAAATCTTGTTTAAACTTGAATTTTGAAACCTAACATTCTTAATATTAAGTACATACAGACTAATAAGAAAGTCTTGTGCTAAGATTCAGATCAAAAAAAAAAAACTCAGGCAAGTTAACCAGATATCAAATGTTGATAATATATAAAAACCCAAAATATGATTTTTTTAAATATAATATTTAATAAAGTAAATTTATATGATTCTTTAAAGTTTGACTATAAGTAGTAAAAGATAAAAGCAAAAGATGAAAAATAGAATTCTAACAACTAGCAAAAGGTAAAATCTTTAGCAAAATCTAATTTAGTGAAAGATGAATCGTTCAAAAACAAGACCCAAAACTCTATCAAAAGACGAAACTCTGATAACAGCTGAGCTATATATTGGTAAATGAAATGTTTATAGTTGTTGGACACTATTCTTTATAAATATAGCTTGTGTTAAAAAGTAATTTTTTGTTTACTGATAAAAGAAACAAGATTTAATACTATTAAATTTATGACTTATTGCTCTCATTTCATAAATGATGTATATATAATTAAATATGTTACTAATCAGATCTAGATGCGTTAAATAAATGCACAAACCTGAAAATATACCTTTTAAATTCTTTTAGCGGCACTCATTTGTATATTATCAGGCAAGGGAATTCAGTTTGAGGCTTTTTAAATAAAGCCTTAAATATTTACTTTAAATAAACCATTATTTAATGTCAGTAATCCATTAGGTTCATAAATATTTACTGTTATACTTCATTAATATTATCTTATTCATGTTAATTTTATGCAAAAAGAATGTTTATTAGAAATTTAAGTTTATAATTTTTAATACCTTATTTTATAAATTCATTATAAAGCTAATTTATTATAAAAATTTAGCAATTATTTATAATTAATAATTTAATACACTTCAGATGTGTGAGTATAATGAAGATTTATTAACATGATTTAGTGGAATTAAAATCATGAACATAAATACCTATTCATCAATACTTTAGATACTTGCAACTATTTACCTAATAACTTTTAAATTGTGGGTGAATATGAAGATGATTTATTAATGTTAATCAATAGAATTCAAATCACAAAGATAAATACCTATCCATCAATACTTATTATTTAGATACTTAATTGCCAATAAATTACCTAATCCTTCAAATGGTATGTGAGTATGAAGATAATCTATTAACGTTAATTAATAGAATCAAATAATGAACATACTATTCATTAATACTTATCTCTATATACTTGCAATCAATTACCTAATAACCTTATAATAGTGTGTGAATATGAAGATGATTTGTTAATTGATGTTAATTAGTCGAATTAAAATCATAAACATAAATACTTATTTATCATTAAATGGTGCATGAGTATGAAGATATTAATCTTAATCTGTGAGAATTAAGTCACAAATATAAATACTTAAATTATCTCTAGATACTTACTTACAATTAATTACCTAATATCCTTCAAATAGTGCGTGAGTATGAAGATGTTCTATTAATGTTAATCAGTGAAATTAAAATCATGAACATAAATACCTATTACTTTATCTCTAGATACTTATTTACAATTAATTACCTAATAATCTTCAAATAGTGCATGAGTATAAAGATTTCTATTAATGTTAATCAGTAAAATTAAAATCACGAACATAAATACTTATTTATCAATACTTAACATTAATCAGTGGTATTAAAATTATGAACATAAATACCTATTACTTTATCTCTAGATATTTACTTGCAATTGATTATCTAATAACCTTCAGATAGTGCATGAGTATGAAGATGATTTATTAACGTTAATTAGCAGAATTAAGATTATGAATATAAATACCTATTTATCAATACTTTATCTCTAGATACTTGCAATTAATTATCTAATAACCTTCAAATAGTGCATGATCTATTAATGTTACATAGTAAAAATTAAAATCATGAACATAACTACCTATTCATCAATACTTATCTCTAGATACTTATTTACGATTAATTACTTAATAATCTTCAGATAGAATATGAAGATGATTTATTAACATTAATTAGTAGAAAACATAAATACCTATTTATCAAATAATCTTCAAATGATGTGTAAGTATAAAGATGATCCATTAACATTATTCAGTAGAATTAAAATTATGAACAAAATATCTATTCATCAATACTTATTTGCAATTAATTCCTAATAACTTTTAAATTATGTGTAAGTATAAAGATAATTTGTTAATATTAATCAGTGAAATTAAAATTAATAACATAAATATCTATTTATTAATTAATACCTTATCTCTAGATGCTTATGATTAATTATCTAATAAACTTTCAAATGGTACGTGAGTATGAAGATTATCTATTAATGTTAACTAGTGCAATTAAAATCACAAACATAAATATCTTAGATACTTACATGCAATTAATTACCAAATAACTTTCAAATGGTATGATTATCTATTAATGTTAATTGGAGTTAAAATCATGTAACATAAAGACTTATTCATCAATACTTATCTTTAATTAATTACCTAATAACCTTCAGATAGTGCATGAGTATAAAGATGATTTGTTAATGTTAATCAGTAGAATTAAAATCATTCATCTAATAACCTTCAGATGGTGCGTGAGTATGAAGATGAGTTAAAATTATGAATATAAATATCTATTTATCAATACTTATCTTTAAATACTTATTTGCAATTATCTAATACCCTACAAATCGTGCATAAGTATGAAAATGATCTATTAACTTTATTCAGTAGAATTAAAATCATGAACACATATATACTTATTTATGAATGCTTATTTTAATTAATTAAATTAATTATATAATACTCCTAAACAATGCATGAGTATAAAGATAATTTTATTAATGTTAATCTGAAGAATTAAAATAATGAAGATGATAATTCTGATAGACAATATATTCATAAAATGGCATAGGTGCTGTTAGAAATAATAGAGGGCATTCGAATGATGTCAAAGTCTGCTAAAAGTAGTAACTTTTAAGAGCAATGCAATATTAAATTATGAGAATAGTACAGATACTTTAGAGATGACTATAGGTATTTAATATCTGCTAAAGTGGGAATTCTAATGAACAATACAAACTTACTTAATTTGCAGCCAAGAATTGCATGATATATTCTTAAGCCAATCTCTATAACTTTCAATTTTTGTGAACATCCTGAGCACTAAGCCGTTTTTGTGGATCAAAATCGATACATTACTTAGCTAATTCGACATGCAATCAGGAGTTTTAGAAGCAAACTCTGATTGCTCTCCTTTAAAAATCTTTACTGCAAGTTTGGTATTAAATTTATATTCATTAAAAGGTCTTTGTCTGGTTAACATTTTAACACAATATTCACTTCTTGTATAGGTTTCTCCTAATAAAAACTTCTGGTATGATATGCTAAAAAAAAAATCCAGGTATCATATAAACGGCAATAATTAGATTTGTGAAATAAAGAAATAAAAGGTTTTAAGAGATTCTCATTTTAGATTGATGAGAACATTTGCAAACTACAATAATTAATAAAATACGGTTGCTTAATATATTTAATAAAAGTTTCTTATATCAGATATAGTTTATTTGGCTAAAATTCTATCACCACTAGGGTTCAAAGCATGGTTAAAGAATTAGGCATGATATAATGTTAAAATTTTTTGTGTATAATTTTTCTGACTAGCTATAATAATATATGATAAGGCATGCCTATATCTCTGCACCTCAAATCCTATTATATTTATAGCTTTTTAAGTGCCTAGTTTAAAAACTAAATAAAAATATAGCAATAGTAAAAAAATATACAAATATACTACAATTAACTTTTTGAATAAAAAAAATAATACATCAACAAAAATTAAAACTGATTCTATTATACTGTATGTAAATTTACGATATTAAAAATTGTGAAACTACAGTAGAAGAAAATGAATAAATTTATTAATGATCTAAGAACAATAGTTATCTTATAGAAAAAATGAATTTAAAGATACTGGTGAAAGTGGTAAAATTAATTTCACTAGCATCTATAAATAAATCACAAAAAAGATGAGAAAACATTAATTAATAGCAAATGACTATATTAAAGAGAAGGAGAACAGAAATGAGCATACAAATAAAAAAACTAATATAAACTAGAAAGGACTTTACCCTCACTGCTTACAGCAGTTCTGTTTGAAATGAATAAGTATACAGGTCCAGCATTATTCATATTGAACAATAAAGTGGTACCAATTCGACCTATTAAATATACTTAGGAGGGAAAATTAGGAATTTTCTCTCGCATGCAGTTTCCTTATGTTTTACCTGGATGATTACGATTCATAAGTCACAGGGTTTGATATTACCACAGACTGTAATAAATCTTAGAAATAAAAATTTCAACAGGCTTTATATTTGTAAGTGTATCAAGGATTCGTACTCTTAATGATATATCATTTCTTTTGATTGCAAATTGCACTTTTACAACAAAGATTAATGAAGGAATGATGATTACTTTAATTATAAATTTATTATAAATGTAATCTTATCATAATTTAGTTTATAAAATTTAAAATATTTCTAAAATATAAGACCTAATAATTAAGGCTCCAGCCTACAAAACGTCACCGTTTTTCTAGTAGGTATATCAGATAAACTTAAAGTTTTTATTTAGTTTTTTAATAATGTTGATTGAGTTTACTTAAATCCAACAACTCTTATATTGATTTCCCACTGAAATTATAAACATTTTGCAAAAT